TCCCTGAGCTAGGAAATATAGAGAAGTCCTGACTATAGAAATATTAAGTTTACAAGACAATGCTATAATAATAGAAGTAATTCTGGAATTTGAAAACCTGATTTAGTATGCATGTTGTTTGGCAGGAATATAGCAGCAAGCCATTTGTATATTTCATTCAAAAATCACCAGACTTTGTTCTTGGTAAATGATGTGAAGGAACGCAGTCTTGAAGTATTAATTGTCACAGTAAATAACTGAACATTTGGGGGACATACAGAAAAATAAATGGTTATTTTAAATTAAAGGTTGCTTTTTATATGAAACTAGAGGCCCAGTGCCCGAATTCGTGCACCAGTGGGTCCCTCGGCCTGGCCTGTGGGATCAGGCCGAAACCAGCTCTCTGACATCCCCCGAGGGGTCCCAAATTGCGAGAGGACGAAGGCAGGCCAAGGGACCCCATTGGTGCACAATTGGGGCCAGGGAGGGATGCAGGAGGTTGGCCAGCCAGGGAGAGACCGTGAGAGGGCTCCAGAGCATGTCCAGCCGTCTTGCTCAGTCCCAATCAGCTGGACCCCAGCAGCAAGCTAACCTACTGGTTGGACTACTGGTCAGAGCATCTTCCCCCTGCTGGTCAGTGCACATCATAGCAAGCGGTTGTGCAGTCTTAGCATATCATTAGCATATTACATTTTGATTGGTTGGACGACTGGACACTTATTATATTAGGCTTTTATTATATAGGATGGCCATTTATAATATTACTCTGGAAACTCAAATTATAAATTACAATTATGCTATTATTTACTTTGTATTATTGTTCAGGATGTAGTTGATTTAGCCATATCAACCTAAGTTCAAAACAAAAAAAAAGAATCAAATTGGTACATTCAGTCATCTTTACCAACTTACTGGCTTCTAAGATAAAGTTAATAGATAATGTTGACTATGTACCACATACAGCCTACAACAGGAAACTTTCCATTTGGTTATAACAAGTAATACTGGACTCTGAATACATGTTATAAAAGACAAAGTGTTTCTCCAATATAGAATAGTTTTGGGGATAACAGAAGGGTTGGTCTGAGCTGTGCATAATCACTCTATTAATAGGAGTTTCTTTTTCCCATGTTTATCAGCATTGGAGAAACTAATGTAGAAAGAAAGACGAAGAAAAAAAGGTATGTGCCTTTAGGAGTATTATATAGTTAATATGTAATACTAGTTGGAGGGATAGGAAGACTGATTTTAAAATAGAAGTTAAAGATTTGAATCTGAAGTTTCTTGTTTGCAATTTTCTGATATGTTCCTCTCTTTACCTATCTGGAATTTAATTCCTTTATGTCTCCTTTTTCTCTTACTTTCCAGAGTCCTTCTACCTGGAAATAGTAAATAATTTCTCCTAGCTTAGAATAGGAAATTTTATTAAATGGCTAAGAAATTATTGTCCAGCTATACCTGGTCTAAAGTAATTGAGATTATGAAACATTTGCTACTTCATGAGGTTTAAATAAAACCATTTGTTATACTGCAATTTTATTCTATTGTTTATTTGCTGTGGCGCATAATATATTAGGTATATTATACCATCCAAGAGAGTTAAATTACTAAAGTAAATGACCTTGCTAAGGGAGGGAAGGCAGTATGGTTATAATAGGTAATCCCAAAAGCATTAAATGTAGGAATAACATGCTAGCAAAGCTTCAGTTATATACATGTACAGAAATTAACATTTTATTAAATGTTGACTGCCCATGAATATAACTACTGATTATCTAATAGGTCTAAGAGTGTAACCAGCTCCAGTAGCAATAGCAGTGACAGTTCAGCCAGTGATTCTTCATCAGAGAGTGAAGAAACATCTACCTCATCCTCCTCTGAGGACAGTGATACTGATGAAAGCTCCTCCAGTTCATCATCTTCAGCCTCCTCCACGAGCTCTTCCTCATCCTCTGATTCAGACTCAGATTCCAGCTCTTCCAGTAGTAGCAGCACCAGCACGGATAGCAGCTCCGAAGATGAACCACCAAAAAAGAAGCAAAAGAAATAGAGTCACTCTACCTATATTGGACTGATGGACCATAAACTTTAATCTGATTCTCAAAAGGGAATTTAGAATATGTTAAAGCCAAATAGATTAACTGGCCAAAAATTTTGAGAGCTCAGAAGTTTCTAAATGTTTTTCATTGTAAGAGCATAAAAACTATTAATGAAATATATATATATATATATACACACACACACACACACACACACACACACACACACACACACA